TGGATGGATGGATGGATGGATGGATGGATGGATGGATGGACGGCACAGGAGAGAACTAACCAACTCTACTCACATAGTGTGGTAAGTCTGAGGATGAAAGTGCTGGAATCAAGTTTTCTCACCTTGAAGACTTGCAGCTAATTCTGGACAATCCTCAATTTCAAATTCACTCTTCAAGATCCTCACTTGCTGCTGCAAGAATTCACTGTAAGAAATTACAGCTCCATCAGAATTAACATCGCCAGAGAAAATATCAACATTGCTTTGCACTTCCTTGCTTCTAATTGTCTGTTGAATTTCCTCTTCGTAGTCTTCAAAAACAGATTCTTCTGTTTCTGAAGATGTCGGGGAGTTTGGTTCAATCGGTTTTGATTTTGTTTTGTTTGATGTCTTTGAGTTCCTTTGTGCACTCTTATTTGATTTTCTTGACGTTTTTCTTGTCTTTTCTGCTACACTTGAAGTATTGTTAGATTTAATGACTTCATTTGATTTTGTTCTTTTCCCTGAAGTACCATCTCTTCTGCTTCCCCTACTTCTTGAAGTGGTATTTCGAACTGTGTTCTCTTYGTCCCTGGACATTTTTGGCTCATTTTCATCAGATGAATCAGGATGTTTCTCGGTATTTATTTTGCTGTTTTTGTTCTTCGTGTTTGATTCTTCTTCAGGTGTTGTGTGGGTTGTTTTTGCTCTCTTAGTCCTTCCTGTACTTTGTTTCTCTGTTAAGGGAAGAGTGGAGCTTGGTCTTTTCCTTCCTGTTGCATTTTCCTTTTTGGTTGATGATGATTGAAAAGTTTATGAGATATAGTATGAGAAGAAAATAAAAATTTTTTTTTGTAGATTAAATTAATTCAATTAATGGAGATGATGATGATAGATGATGATGGTAATGATTCTGATGACACCCATGTTAAAGATGATGCCTAAAATGATGATGATAATATCATGCTTATGATAATTAATGTTGATTACTGATGAAACCGTGATGATGCTTATGATGGTTATGATTAATGGTGGTGATGATGGTGATGATGATAATGATGATGGTAATGACGATGATGATGATGGTTATCATGATGGTGATGATGATGGTGATTATGATTGATGATAACAATGATAGTGAGAATGGTGATGATGGTAATGACGATGATGGTGGTGGTGATGATGATGGTGATCATGATGGTTAATATGATAGATGATAACAATGATAGTGATAACGGTGGGAATGATGGATGCTGATGATGATGATGACTGTCATTAATAATCATTGTAATGTTCATATATAACAATCCTCTTGTCCCTTCCAGTAACAAAAGTACATAATTGGCACAACAAACAGGTCATTCTTTCTAAAGCAGTCTGGAGATCGTGCACATAGTGAGCAACCAGAGATTGATTGGCAGGTGAAATAAAGCAGCTTGTGACAAGCTGGTTGGCATATTAACATCACAATGAATTTCTAGCAAACATGCAGTATCAGTATACAGTGAAAAAAAAAAAAAAAAATCCCACATTTCTGTCGGTACGGGTTAACCAAGTGCAGTGCTGTCAACTCTCCCGGACAAACCGGGAGTCTCCAGATTTTGGACCGTATCTCCCGGTCTCCAGATTAGAGTCTCAAATCTCCCGGATAATCGCCGAAGCTGACCATTTCTTGTGAGACTCTACTTTCACAACCATAAAATTCCAATTATTTTATGTTGTTTGTGTTATTTTACATCGCTAACAAAATCAAAACGTTCCTCATAAACTGTTCTTGCAAGCAGGACATTGTAATATAAGCGATAATCTGATTGGTCAGAAATAAACCAATCACATCAAATGTTACAAAGYGAAAGCCGTCTTTTCGCGCGTTTTTTGAAGCACTGTGACGTCATGTCCTTTCCCTATCAATTCTCCAGATTTGAATATCTCAGGGGTTGACAGCCCTTTAAGTGTGTCATAGCTTTCTGAGCCCGTGAGTGGGACTTTGGTTTTCCTCACTTAGAAAAAAATTTAATGGCAGGCAAGATTCGAACCCGGAACTAAATGATATTACAATGCGTATCCCAACCCTAACCCTAAACGTAATCACTTAGCCACTCTTCTCAATCAATCAATCATCAAAACGTTCAATAGAAGCATTAACACAAGCGTCTATGATATCCATGAAATAATAATGATAATAATAATGATAATAATAATAATAATAACAATAATAACTAYATTAATGTCTCTATATCATCTAGCAGGGCACAAGTGCCCTACTAATCGGGGAGACAAAAAAGATCAAACAGTAAAAATTTAGAATTTAGGATTACAATTGAATAAATTCTCTCAAAACATTGAAAATTTAAAGAAAGATTTGCTTACTTGTGAGATAGTTGTAGTCTTGTCTCTAGAAACCTCATTCCCTTCCGTAGAAATCGAGGTATTCTGGCTTTCAGGAGACGAAAGCTTAGACTTAGAAGACCTTTTTCTCCTCCTAGTACCTCTATAATACTTCATCTTAGTCTCAAAGGTTCTCAAAGCTTATTTTTAAGGTCTTTTTTTGTGAGAAAATCGAGGAAAACAGCCTTTTGTTTTTTGGCGGGAAAATTATATGATGTTTTTGCGGTCAGTAAATTTCTTTTTTGAGTATGCGCAATAAGCTTGAATTATTCATTTCCCTGCATTAMAAAATACAAAGCTTAATTTGATTGGACATGGAGAATATTATTTTWAAAAAAATCTTTTTATTTAAATTTAGATTTAGCTCCTATTATTCTTTAATCCGTAAGTAAGCTTTAATTTAAGCTCGTTTTTTTCTTCTTGTTTTAGGATCATTTCTTTTTACATAAATTTAGAACCAGATTTAGTTATTGTTTTAGAGAATGCGGTGACCAATCAGAGAATAGCTTCTATGTATGTTTTGCGTCCAGAAGTATAGTACAAGTCTTTATCATCTGTTTCTTTGAGTTTCAAAACACTCGTTTTTTGAGTCATTTTTCTCTCTCTTTATGACTTCTTTAGACATTTTTGATCTTTTGAATTAAATATAGGACATAAAAAGAGTTATTTTAGATGCATCCGTTAGAAATCGAAAATGAAAGAAGCAAAATACGACATTACTTCGTCAGCAAAAACGAGTTGATCTGCAATTTTCTTTGACAGAAGAGTCTAAACTCACTTACAAATCCTGTAAACAATGCTTTGCATAACTCTACAGAGAAATCCAACGAACCTGTAAGTTATATCTATTATTATACTATATTATTATCCTACTCTCCCGTGAAATCTTTTCACTGCATTCGAAGATCAAGCTGGTTTGATCTTTCAAAATTTTAGAAATGTGTTGTCAAATTTTGACAACTTAACGTTATAAAGTTATCAATTTTTTAACTTTAATCTGACTTTATTAACTAATATTTATTACTGCATTTGAATTATCAATGCCTTAAGCAAAGCTCTACAATTTGACTAAAGTATTTTATGATTCGTAGAATGTTTAATCATGAAGGCCTTTTATAGTTGAATGTATTTCAAGAGGTTTTGGCTAAGATATAAGTTTCAAGCATTTTATATGTCTCTGTTTTGCGAGTAACAGGTGCTAGTGCTTTATAAATGTCTTTGTATGGGTTTGGATCGTTTCTTTGAATTATAATCACGTTGAAGCTTACTTTTATAGCCATGAAAAACTCTATATGTAAGCTTATTCTTCCATTCTAGTTTTGAAATGGCTTTAAATATAACATAGCAAAAATAGTATATATTGAGGGTTTGAACCATCACGTGATGGCAGCCATGACAGGAGGCACAACAAAAGAGTCGTTCTCCCCTGGGAAACTGAATCCTTTTTCAGATTAGACCAGATTCAATAGCGCAGCGCACTGATTCTAAAAATAGCTTAAAGATTCGGACAAACATTGCATTCTGTTTAACCGCTACGATGATTATACGAACCCATTTTATTATTTTTACTTAAAGTTACAATAATAACCCATGTAAACTAAGATCAACTGCGATGGGCTGTGAAAATTATTTGCTGAAAGTAAACTTGTAAGTTTGTTTGTCCGAATTTYGCCTTTGTCTTCGTTTTTATGATGTCACCGTTACGCTGCACTATTGGTCCTGCTTTAGCTGTCATGGCTGTGGTGTATTTTCTAAATAATAATCAACTACACTAAACCATGTGCTTTGATGCTCGTCTCTTTATTACACACATGCGCACTCGCACGCTTGCAAACCTAACAGGGGTGGGGTGGGTAAATCCACCAACACTACAATGGCTAATGAGCCAGTAGTTTGTGTTCAAATCCTAAGATGATTGAATGAAAATATTCAGCCAATATTGCTAAAATTTTAATGCAATATGATGTTGCTATAGCATTAAACAATTGAGAATGCTACAATGTAGCATAAATTGTATTAGTTCCAAAAATTATCCATACTCCTCCCCCCCCCCACCAATGAAGGATTTTTATAGATCTCTCCTGTCCCTGGAAATTCCAATTCCAAACCCTGTAATTTCGTTCTTTCTCTGTCCCACTACCCCTCTCCCCCAGAAATTCCAATTCCAATTCCAGAAATTCCTATGTGGGGGGAGGGGGGGAATTATGGGTAAGTTCTGGATCTACACATTTTAGCAAAAATCTATTTTATTGTAGTACATGTGCTTGATCTGAGCCATATTGAGGGGCTTTTTTGATGAAAAACAAAAAGAAATAGATCCATTCACTTTGATTATCGTTATTGATTTTTTTGTGTGCAGATAAGTAACCAAGGAATGAATAAACCACAAGCTTTCAGAAATAACAAAAAATTAACACTGATGGTCATAATAGAAGCAAATTAAAGTATAATATTACCTGCAACTATGCCAACCACAAATACGCCRTCAAGCCCTCCAGTACTCCATGGGCCGTGCTTGGCTGCCAAGGAGCTTTTGGATGCTCTAACAAAGGCTCAAGCTAATGGGATGTCAGAAAGTAAACTGGTTAGTAAGACCTACACTATTTACAGATAATCTAATTCACCTACTAAGGCATATTGCCCCTTTTCAGACCAAGTGGTTCTAAAGGGAATAAGATTCTTTGTTGTATCCATATTCATGTAATCTTCTCGTGTGCAACCAATCAAACAAAGGGATGGTACTCTAGGGAATGATATGTGGTCTGAAATGGAAAACTAGGTCTTGAGCAAGTATTGGTAATGAGCAAGCTCTCACTGGAATCACAACGTTTTGCTTTTCAGCTAGTAGAAATGAGTGGCTCGCATAATGTTCACTGTTCAGAGAAGCTCTTCATTCCATACATCAGTAAAAATAAACTTGTGTCATGGGTCTTTACTGTAACATCAAGCGTAAGTACTATTTATTATGGGCTACAGCTTCAAACCTTTAAGTTTTACCAATACTCGAAACAATTGACCTCTGGGCTGATCTAAGTAA